GTGTGTGTGAGAGTGTGAGTGTGTGTGTGTGAGTGTGAGAGAGTGAAGAGTGTGAGAGTGAGTGTGAGTGTGTGTGAGAGAGTGAAGAGAGTGTGTGTGAGAGTGAAGAGTGTGAGAGTGAGTGTGAGTGTGTGTGAGAGTGTGAGTGTGTGTGTGAGAGTGAGAGTGTGAGTGTGTGTGTGAGAGTGAGAGTGTGAGTGTGTGTGTGAGAGTGAGAGTGTGAGTGTGTGTGTGAGAGTGAGAGTGTGAGTGTGTGTGTGAGAGTGAGAGTGTGAGTGTGTGTGTGAGAGTGAGAGTGTGAGTGTGTGTGTGAGAGTGAGAGTGTGAGTGTGTGTGTGAGAGTGAGAGTGTGAGTGTGTGTGTGAGAGTGAGAGTGTGAGTGTGTGTGTGAGAGTGAGAGTGTGAGTGTGTGTGTGAGAGTGTGAGTGTGTGTGTGTGTGAGAGTGAAGACTGTGAGAGTGAGAGTGTGAGTGTGTGTGAGAATGTGTGTGTGTGTGAGAGTGAAGAGTGTGAGAGTGAGAGTGTGAGTGTGTGTGAGAGTGTGAGTGTGTGTGTGAGAGTGAGAGTGTGAGTGTGTGTGTGAGAGTGAGAGTGTGAGTGTGAGAGTGAAGAGTGTGAGAGTGCGAGTGTGAGTGTGAGTGTGAGTGTGTGTGTGAGAGTGAGTGTGAGTGTGTGTGTGTGTGTGTGAGAGTGAGAGTGTGAGTGTGTGTTAGAGTGTGAGTGTGTGTGAGAGTGTGAGAGTGAGAGTGAGAGTGTGAGTGTGTGTGAGAGTGTGTGTGTGTGTGTGTGTGTGTGAGAGTGAAGAGTGTGAGAGTGAGAGTGTGAGTGTGTGTGTCTGTGTGTGTGAGAGTGAAGAGTGTGAGAGTGAGAGTGTGAGTGTGTGTGAGAGTGTGAGTGTGAGTGTGAGTGTGAGTGTGTGTGTGAGAGTGTGAGTGTGTGTGTGTTTGTGAGAGTGAGAGTGAGAGTGTGAAATCCAGATCAGACGCTGTTGTGCTGCTGCACTGTGTCCTCATGTCACCTATATACAGTCTATGAGTGAAAGCAGGTCAGACACTGCAGTTGTTCTGGATTCTTTCCTCAGATGACTCTAAACACACACACACAGCTGTGGTCATGTTCGTCAGTAAGTCATGTGTTATTGGTGAAGGGTGGATTGGTTGTATATTCTTCAGGAATCAGGCGTCTGTGATGCTGACGGAGTGTGATGTTGTGTGCGGATCTTTCTGACAGATGAATGTGTTCAGGTGAGAATCGCTTCTCTTCACACGGATAAATACCCCAAACGGCCCGTGGACACAGACTGATTTCAGAGTTCACCTGCAGCCACTCATCTTATTTACATTAACACTTTTTGAGAAGAAAGACAAATATAAATAGTGCTGAAAGCTAAAATATTAAATGCAATGGATGTAAATTTACAGAGTAATGCACTATTGTGTAGAGGAGGGTCAAAATAACATTTTTCATCTGAGATTCAGAGCCAAATTACAGGAGGCTAAAAATGATTTCAGAGAGATGACAGCATCATGATGTGATTTTCACGCAGAGATTGGTAATATCTGTTGACTTCAGCAATATGTGTTGCTTTATATGCCAATGGTGACTGTTCAAAAACAGGGGAAATGCTCTTTTCAAGTTGATTCAAGTTTTTTCCCGAAGTTCGCATGGCTATAACTCAAGAAGTATTAAAGACATCTTAAAGCCCTTTTAGATTTTGGCTCTCAAAGTTTTTTTTCTGTATCTTCATTTTTAAGGCCCTGTGTGATTCATATATGATTCATTCTGAGAGATGCAGGGATCTAAAAATGGCTCTATGAGTCAGTTGTTAAATTGGGTCATGGTATGGCATTTTAACTCCATTTTACAGATTAGTGGATTACTCGGTAAATATA